CTATCTATGACAAATGAATGGCTAACATCACACTAAATGGTCAGAATTTGAAAGCTTTCACTTTAAAATCAGGAACAAGGATGTCCACTGTCACCATTCCTATTCAATATAGTTCTGGAAATATTAGCTAGAGCAAGTAGACAAGAGAGAGAAATAAAAAGAATAAGCATAGGAAAGGAGGAAGTGAAATTATCATTATTTGCAGATGACATGATACTCTACATAGAAGACCCCCAAAACTCCACCAAAAGGCTTATAGATTTAATAACCAAATTCAATAGCATAGCTGGATATAATATCCACACTCAAAAATCAATAGCATTCCTGTACACAAACAACAAACAGAGAGAAAAATTAGGGAAACCACACCTTTCACAATAGCATCTAAAAAGATGAAATACTTTTGAATCAATCTAACAAAAGAAGTAAAAGATCTATACAGGGAAAATTATAGTACTCTGAAAAAAGAGATCAAAAAGGACGTCAGAAAATGGAAAGATATTCCTTGCTCATGGATAGGAAGAACTAACATTGGGAAAATGGCCGTACTCCCAAAATTGTTGTACAAATTCAATACAATCTCAACTAAAATACCATTAGTATACCTCACAGATCTAGAGAAAACATTCCTAAGATTCATCTGGTACCAGAAGAGGCCTAGAATAGCAACAGCAATCCTGGGAAACAAAGGAAAGGCAAGAGGCATCACAATACCTGACTTGAAATTATACTACAAAGCTACTGTGATCAAATCAGCATAGTACTGGCAAAAAAAACCCTGAAGATCAATGGAACAGATTAGAAGATGCAGACACAGCTACAAACACACTCAGCCACCTTATCTTTGACAAAGGGGCCAAACGTGTTCACTGGAAGAAAGATAGCCTCTTTAATAAATGGTGCTGGAAAAACTGGCTTTCCACATGTTGAAGACTAAAACTAGAGTCATGTCTTTCACTGTGCACTGAACTAAAGTCTAAATGGATCAAAAATCTAAATATTAAAACAAAAACACTAACTCTATTGGAAGAGAAAGTAGGTAAAAATCTCAAAGACATAGGTGTAGGCAAGGAGTTCATGAACAAAAACCAAAGTGCATGGGAAATACGTCAAAGAATCAACAACTGGGATCTCATCTTATTGAAAAGTTTTTCACAGCAAAAGAAATCACCAATAGAGTAAAAAAGAAAACTCACAAAACGGGAAAAAATTTTAGACAATTACCCCTCAGGCAAAGGACTTCTATTAGAACATATAAAGAATTAAAAAAAATCAGTCCCCCCAAACTGAAAGACTCAATCCAAAAAGTGGGCATCTGAGATAAATACACACTTCTCAGATGAAGAAATACAAATGGCAAATAAATACATGAAAACATGTTCAACATCATTACTCATTTGAGAAATGCAAATTAAAACAACACTGAGATTTCATCTCACTCCAGAAAGAATGGCTATCATCAAGAAATCAACCAAAAACAAATGCTGGTGAGGCTGTGGGGAGAAAAGAACCCTACTGCACTGTTGGTGGGAGTGTCAGTTGGTGAAACCACTGTGGAAATCAGTTTGGAGATTCCTCACAAAACTAGGATTAGAAGGCCCACTTAACCCAGCTATTCCCCTTCTTGGTATTTTCCCAGAACAATTAAAAACATCATACTACAGTGATATATGTACACCCATGTTTATAGCAATGCAATTTGTTATAGCTAAATCTTGGAAACAATCTAAATGCCCATCAACTGAGGAATGGATAAAAAAGATGTGGTATTTTTATACAATGGAGTACTACTCAGCTATAAAAAAGATAAACTGGAGGTTTTTGTAGGTAAATGGATGCAACTAGAGACCATACTCACAAGTGAAATAAATCAGACCCACACGTGTAAATATCATGTTGTCTCCCTAGGAACCTGAAAGAGTAAGTAAAACTCAAAATGTACAATAGATGATAAGAAAGGGAAACAAAGGCCAGGGATTTAGCTCAGCAGCACAGCACCTGCCTGGCAAGCATGAGGTCATGAGTTCAATTCCCAGTATCAAAAAAAAAAAAAAAAAAAAAAAAGGGAAGGAAATTGCTCGAAGGAAGGATCAACTGGGATGAGGGTAAGAAGAAAAAAGAAAGAAGGAATGCAAAATATATATGAATATATCTATAGATAGATAGATAGAAGAATAGCTGGGATAACTACTGCTGATGTCTGATGGTATATTGAAAGGAACAGTTAATGTTTAAAATTTTTTATATTTTGACCAATTTTGCATGCTTATATCTGGTAATCTGAGCAACTGATTTGAAGACAACAATATGTAATGCAACAACCAGTGGTGAATTCCTACCATCTTGTCTAGTGAAACTGTATTATCTCTAATGTTTTATTTAAGAATTTTTTTATTCTCTTTAATGGCTTGAACAATCTTCCATTCTTACATCTGGTAATCTGAGCAACATAGTTGAAGACAGCAATATGGAATATAACAACCACTGCTAATTCCTATCATTTTGTTTTGAAACCTTGTATCACTTGTAATGCTCTTGATTTGTTTTATTTATGTCTGTGATGTTGATATGTTGTTATTTTTTTTTTTACTACTCTCTTTAAAATGAAAAACAAGAGAGAGAGGTGGTAATGATAGAGAACACATGATATACGACTGCCAAATAATACATATAATATAGGGAAAATATTATAACCTCCAACCTGCTAGATATCAGAACACCAAGTTCATGTTCTCTAAAATTGAGGAATGAATTCTAGGAACAATGGTGGCTTTATTGAGAGAAAGAAAGCATCTGTCTAAGACAGACAGAAGGGGGCCTGGAGAGGGGCTTGTGCAACAACCCTGCTTCTCAAGGGTGTTTTATCAAACAAAGCCACGAGGTGGGGGTGGGTGTTCCAAGGTGGGACAGAATTATAATCAATCAATAAGACTACAAGTACAGTCACTTAGGTAATATTGATCCAATGGAAAAATCACAGGATGGGTGTGGGGTGGGACAAAACTGTGATGAACCAATAAGATCACAAGTATAGTCACTTAGGTAATATTGATTAAATGGGGATCAAATTGGGAAGCAAGTCATATAGCAAGTGTGCATAGGATGGACAAGGACTTTACTGGAAGGGCTGGGTTAAAGAGGTTTGGTCCCCCACCCAAGATGATTGATATCTATTTAGATTCTCAATCACTGCTGTAAATCCCTAGGGGAAGTATATGAGTGTAGTCTGTCCTCTTTTCTTGAAGCCTGGCTTTAGTGAATGCACTTCTAGCCACAGTTGTCTTCTGCACTGACGTTTTGAGGGCCCAGCCCTGTTTGACTGACTACAATAGTTCTAACTAATTTAGCTGTCTATAATAGTAGCATGGGAAGAGAAGGGCTAATGAATCAAAAATCGTGAGGGCAAACCAACAGGTCTTAGCAAGTGCTTGGAAAAGGAGGACACAGAAGAGGAGCCTGAGGTGACAAAAGTAGGCTGCGGGAGTTAGTCACAACATAAGAGGACAAGGAGAGGAAGCCATTTGGAAGAGAGTTCTAATCCAGACAGGTAAGGAAGGACGAGCTGCTGGGACTCGTTGACCAGCTAAGGTGGAAACTCGGGACAGAAGACAGATTAGGGTTAGGGTTAGGGTTACCATCTCTGGAGGCAATGCCCAGACAATGATGAGTGGGATTGCCAAGTGCAAAAGTGCAAGTTTGAGAAACACTGGATTAGATGCTCTTGGAGGGAGGCTGCAGCTGTGGCATCTATCTTACAGGTTTACTGTGAAGCAGTTCAGTGATTGACCAGGTCCACTCAACTTCGATGCATTTACTCATTTGTTTACTTAGCATTTATTGAATAACTAGTATGCCTCAGGGCTAAAGATGCCAGGAAAAGTCAGATGCTAATCCTGTCTTTGTGAAGTAATAGTCTAGTAAATAAGCAAGAGATGAGAAAAAAAACAGGCCATAAAGAAAATGGTACAGTGCCTCATGCATTACAATGGAGGTGTTTGCAGGGAGTTTGAGGAATTGGTTATTGGAGGAGTCCGTGGTGGGGTGGAAGGCATGGATGTGGATAAGGGAGCAATCAAAGGATGTATCATGTCAGTCCCAGAACTAGGATGAGGTGAGGCACTGTCAGTCAGCTTCCCACTGCTATAGCAGCTACCTGAAATGGGATCTCTCCTCATTCTACCACCAAGTAGAATTCTACCATCAGTGTGTTGAGCTCACACCTTTTTCTGCTTGGTCTTGGGCCATCTGGTCCTATCCTTTTTTTTTTTTTTTTTTTTTTTTTTGGAAACAGGGTCTCACTTGAGCTCACTTTGTAGCCTAGGCTGGTCTCAAACTCACAACAATCCCCCTGCCTCAGCCTCCCGAGTGCTGGGATTACAGGCGTGTGCCACCACGCCTAGCTGGTCCTATCCTAAGATTCTTTATCACAAAAGCCAAGACAGATCCCGGATCACAAATTTCTCACCCTGAAAGCATCACTAGTGAATTTTTTGGCTGTTAGATTATATCTAGTAGATCTACATTATGGTGTTAATATCAGCAGACATTAATACCAGGACTTGTAGGCATTTGCAGTTACAGAGTGAAAGCTCTCTGTTCTATGGAGTAGTCAGGAGAGGTGGCTTAAGTTCTGTTAGTCCCAAATTATGGCTTAAATTCTGTTAGTCCCTTTATAAAGGGTTATATAAAGCAAATGAGAAAGATGTTCATGATTTGGATGTGTGTTAACCTGTAAAACCACAGTAATTTACTGAAAAGAACTGGATCAAACATTTTGTCTGAAACTTTGAAAAGTGATTTGTTTATATTACCATAAGACAGACTGTTCTAACTGGCAAAAGACAACATATCACTGACACCATCATAATAGAATTCAAAAAAATACTGACTTGCTCATAAATTATTTTGCTCCCTTATGTTCATTCCACAACAAAATTTAGAATGAATCCATAGAGTAGATAATTATTTGCAACCTCTGCCTGAAATAGCAGCTTCTTCACCTGGGAAACTGTCCCAATTCTCCAGCACCTGAGTCTGCCCTCTGCAGTGCTTGTACTTTGGCAACAGTCAGAGTGGGTGGCACAAATTGGACGTTAATTCTCAGAGGCATGGTGATTGGGCCAGGAATGGTCACATGACCTCAGCCTGGCCAATCAGAGTTTTTCTGTGGGATCTTTCTCATTAGAATTTAGATGCAGGTTTTTTTGTGTGTCTTTTTGTTTGTTTAGGGTTTTTTTGTCTTTTTGAGACAGGGTCTCACTATGCAGTTCAGGTTGGCCTTGTGCTCACTTTGTAGCCTCGACCTTGCAACGATCCTCCTAGCTCAGCCTCACCAGTGCTGGGATTACAAGCATGCACCACCATGCCCAGCTCTTTTTAGAATTTAGAAAAGGGGTGGAGGAGGTATAGCTCATCAGCACAGTGCTTGCCTGGCAAGTGTGAGGTCATGAGTTCAATTTCCGGTACCCCCCCAAAAAAGAATTTAGAAAAGAACTGTTTCTTTAGAAGCCACCTTGAAGATACCAAAGTATAGTACAACACCTATTGATAATCTCCTACCTCTTTTGTCTGTAACTCACTATTATTTGTCTATTTGTTTTCCTGAGAAACTGTCTTGTAGATAACAATACGTAAAACAATAACCATTGATAATTTCCTACCACTTTGTCTGTAATTTGGTAAGCCCCCCCCATTATTATGTTATCCTTGTTTTACTCTTTAAAATAAAAAATAAAAAAATAAAAGAACTGTTTCTTCTCTGGTGGCACACTGAGAAGATGTAAAGCTGAAATTTCCCATACCCATGTCCCCTACCTCATAAAGGAGCCAATTTAAGAAGACAATGCTAGCAAGAAGACTGAGGCAGAGATTTACACATAGAAATAATTTTAACAGAGTATAAACCCTTGATCCAGCTGAACCTGATGCCAAATTTATATTCATCCCCTTTCTGTAGCATTTCTCCCTGAGCCAATACATTTCCACTGTGTATCCATATGCTAGTTTGAAGTCTTGACTGGTAAATCCTTGTGGGTAAAATTTATATCTTGTACTGATTTGTGCTTCCTGGCATCTAGAATGAGCAGTGTTTGATGAAGACCTGCTGATGCATTAAAACTAATATATAAGACAATTATCTGAATCAAATTTAACCAATTCATTTCCTTGAAATCTCTAAGTGAACACAAATATACTCATGTCATTTACACACATGAACAGCCTCACTTTGGTATTCTCCCTTCAGCAGACCTCGAAGGTGTGCATGCACACTCACACACATACCACTTACACACAGTCACATAAATACACTGTTCTGGAGAGAGAAATTTTTCGAAAGTCAAATTACCCAAAATCAAGTTATTTAGGGAATAGAGTTAGTATTATGTACAAGATAGGAAAGAAAAGTGATATTATTCAGCAGCTCTCTATGTTTGTATTATAATATATTTCCTTCCATTGTTTCTTGAAAAATCCTATAGGGTAGACATTGTTAGCCCCATTTCACAGATGAGGAAGCTGACTGAAGAAGTGAAACCCAAGGCTACATATCTGTTACCTAGAACTGTTACCTACATATCTGTTACTTAGAACCACACCTGACCCCAGGCTCTTTAAGGCATGCTGCCTCCTTGTGGCCTAGAGATGGCTCCTGGAGAAAAACAGAAAGCATAATAATCCATTTCTTGGAACACACCCCAGGTTTACTTGAATCAAGAAAGGGGTACAGCTAAGGTATTGGGCAAACCCAACTTTCAGGAGATTTGTCTGTGTAGAGACGGACGATCACTTGTTTATAAGTGGAAGATAGCATTGGTGACCTTGTAGCTGATTTGCTTTGTGAGGGCCGTGGGAGCATGGATAATGAGGGACACAGAAAAGAAGACAGTTGTCAAGGACAGTGGGAAGACTATAGTCAAAAGGCCAATGGGTGCAGGCAAAGAGGGAGAAGTGGAGGACCAAGATGTATGCTGAAGCCCTAACCAAGTCCCAGGGCTTACATGACCTCTTGACCATGAGCTCATCTGTTCATGGCAATCGTGGACTCAGACTGTCTCAATCCAATGCTTAGCACAAAATAATTTCTGTGTTTCTGACTGAACTATGAAACAGAGAGAGATTTATGAGATAATATTGGAAGAAGCAGTAATCCTCAGAGCACTGCCCCTTAAATTCTCACAAAACTTATAGAAGATGAAGACAGCCAGGCGTGGTGGCACACACCTGTAATCCCAGCACTGAGGAGGCTGAGGCAGGAGGATCATTGCGAGTTCGAGACCAGCATGAGCTACAAAGTGAGCTCAAGTTTAGCCTGAACTACATAGCGAGACCCGTCTCAAAAAAACAAAAAAAAAGATGAAGACAATAGCTACATGTTGCAGGACTATGGAAAACTAAGAGGAACAGGTTATTAGTAGCCAGATGAATTGGGATCTGTCTATGAGGCAGGTAGGGTTAGCCTTTTAGAGAAAAAAAACAAGCTAATGTGTCTGACATTTATCCCAGCTGTGCCTCATGAATACTGTATGTAAGAAAGCAAGTCTGATTCTTCTACTGAGGTTATATCCCTTAGCTCACCCACTCAAAGCAGAGGCAAACAAATCTAGCATTTACCCCTCTAAATCTCTCTGATATTTCTTTGTGCACATTTGTGCATACTTCATTCACGTGTGCCCTTCCTTTATGCTTCATTTCTGTCATGCTTGCATTCCATATTTATGGAGGTAGGTGCTGCCAATGCCAGGAAACATGGCAACAAGTGAGTGTTGTGTGTGTACTTTAGGGCATGGAGGTTGAGAGGAAGCAAGTATGTGTATAGGACATTTTGGAAAGTTAATTCTAGGAGTTAAGAATTATCTGTGGGAAAAACCCAAAGGAACTCAAAATAGTTCACACAAGGAATATTCCAGAGAACCATAGAGAGGAGTATGAGGATGGTACCACATCAGAAGCCCAAAGTTTCCTTGGAAAAGAGGGAATCAGGCATGGAACTGAGAAATCAACTTGGTCCAAGCTGTAGCTCTAGAAGAGGAAATCAAACACTGTGGAAAATGGGACCAAGAGCCACCTACCCTCAAACACTGTGTGATCACATCTTGCTTGTTTGATGTGGAGCAAAGAGAAAGATAACATTAGATTTACAACAAAGTAAAGAATAGGGGAAAAGAGACAGAAAATTCTTTGCAAAGAATTCAAAGGGAGGCAAAGCCTAAGAAGCAGACCTTAAGCATATATCAGTCACTGGTATGTGGTACATACTGCATGTTAGAAGCCAAGACTGTGGCCTCCTAGCTGAAACACTCAACACAGTGAACATCACAAATCATTCCACCCTTTAATAAAGCCAGGAAATCTGGGTAATGTGTGGCACATGGTCCAACTAGTGAATTTATAAACATAAGCCCCTTGCTCTGTTCCCTTTACCATGGTATGAGTTCCATGATCAGAGGCATGTTAATGTGACTTACCAGGGTGATGAGTAAGACAATTTACAAATCCATGTATAGGAGTGCAGTCAGAAGTTCTGTGGGCAAGTCATGATCTGGAATAAGCATCTTGTTGGACAGAAATGATTCAATATAATCAATCCAGACATAGGGGCTGGCTGGCCCTTCAAGGATAAGTGTTACAATAAAGCCTGAAATTGACTACTGGGACATCACTACAGGTCCCTGGACATTAAGGGAATAATAAAGGAAATGTTATAAACTCTATGCCCTTAAATTGAATGAAATGGACCCATTTTACCAATTTTTGGAGGGATGTATAATTTGCTGAAAATCACCCAAGAGGAAATAGTTGATCTGAACAGGCCTACAACAAGTAAAAAATCGAGCCAGGTGTGTTTGTGTACACCTATAATCTCAACACTTGGGAGGCTGAGATAGAACAAATGCCACAAGTTTGAGGCTAGGTTAGGGTACATAGTAAGCTCAAGACTGAACTATGTAGTGAGATCCTGTCTCAAAACAAAACAAAACACACACAAAACAAGTAAGAAATTGAAACAATAATTAATGATCTTTCAAAACAGGAAGCATCAGCCTAAGTAGGTTTATTGGTGAATTCTACCAATAACTTAAGGGGAAAAAATATACCAATCCCCTAACATCTCTTGCAGAAGATAGAAGAAGAGGGAATACTTCCTTATTTAACCTATGAGACCAGTAGCAACCTAATGATAAAACCAGACAAAGACGTTAAAAGAAAATATAATAACGACGGACAAAAATTTTGCCAGAGCAGCTGAGCTAGTGATGGTTCACATGTGGGTTGTCCTGAGGGCATGGAGGATGCCAGGCAAACAGGTATTCCAGCCAAGAGCACCAGTATGAGAGGCAAGCTAGTAAAGCAAATGGGGCCCTTCCCCTCCTCCCCACTTCCCATGTTGGAGCTGAGCTGCACCTTGGACAACTTCAGGAACTCCAGTGAGCCAGCCCCACCTCTGCCCCGCCAGCTTGGAAGCCAAGGGGAGCCCCAGACAACCTCAAGGGCCTTGGGTGCTCCTCCATGCCCCCATCCCACACCCTCAGGGGAGCTAAACTGAAACTCAGACAGCTTCAAGGGCCTCAGTGGCTGCACACTTATCCCCCCCACTGGTGTGAGAACTGGGTGGGGTAGTGGCAGTGTATGGAGACACAGTGACCACAACCCACCCACTACTATACCCCAGTGAAAACATGGCTGAAACCTGGACAGCTTTGGGAACTCCTGAGTGGGAGGCAAGCTGAGCCACAGACAGCTGTGGGAGCATTGGGGACTGCACCACACCCACACACACACACCATCAAGGGAGTCACACTGAGCACTGGGGACTTTGGGTCCTTGCCCCGCTACTATGATATCATCCTGGGAGTGAGGCTGAGCTCCAGGGAACCTCTGCATCTCTGAACATGACAAAATGAAGGAGCAAAATGCAATCTCAGACCTCTACCCTACCCAGAACATGTCCAGGAGACATCAATACAGAAGAGCCTGGAAGTCATACACCTGAAATTTCTGAAATAATAGCAAATGAAGTAAAGAAACAACTCCACGAGGTCATAGAAGACATCAGATCAGAAATAATCTTTCAAGTAATAAA